GAAAGAAGCTTCGAATTGGGAAAACTTTTGCGGGGGCATTTAAAAAAAAAAAAAAAGCCTTCAAACAACAGACCACCACATCCAAGGGTGGCCTGGCCAATTTATAAGGCGCAGTTATGTTATTGGAAACGATGTTTGGGTTGGAATACAGTACAACAAACAAGAGGGCGGCAAACAGGGTACACTCATAGAGGCAGGCCTGATTTAAATTTTCAAGTACAAAGCATACAAAAATTCTGAATATTAAAACTTAAAGGATTTAGATGCTCTATTAAAATCAGTGTTTATAAAAATCCTCGTCTCACCCCTCGGGTGGTGTCCATCCCTCATTCAGCTCGGGTCCTCTACCAGAGGCCAGGAAGCTTGAGGGTTCTGCGCAGTATCCTTGACGAGTGACAGCGAGGAGAGGCCCGCTCTGACGTCTGCGCACGTCACGTACGCTGAGATTTCAATGACTGTCATCAAGCATTGACGAGACAAAAAGGATTGAAACAACAACTAAATTAAGGAAGTTAACTACCTTTTCAGTGACATCCTGGAGCCAAAAGCCAAAAGCAAGAAGTGAAGGTGACCTCAAAAGGCCACAAGAGGATGGCTTTTAGAACTGACACGTATGGTATGTCTACCCGTCATTTTAGGGGAACAGATTTGATTAAAAAAAAAATGTGCTGCTAATCCTTCAGTTTTCATACAACATCTTGATTTAGCATAAAAACCACATGCTCACTCAATCCTAATAGCACTCCCGCGCCTACGCTGAGGACCACATCCAAGGGTGGCCTGGCCAATTTATAAGGCGCAGTTATGTTATTGGAAACGATGTTTGGGTTGGAATACAGTACAACAAACAAGAGGGCGGCAAACAGGGTACACTCATAGAGGCAGGCCTGATTTAAATTTTCAAGTACTCACTAAACACAAAGCATACAAAAATTCTGGATATTAAACCTTAAAGGATTTAGATGCTTTATTATAATAAGTGTGTTATATATATATATATATAAGTTTTGCCAACAAAGCTTTTTCAAATAATATTTTTTTGTGTTGAAATGTCTTTCGCGCACGCTCCAACGACAATAGTACAATACCAAGAGATATCTGTTCGTTTGTGTGCGTACGTGTTTAGGCCTGTTCGGCCTTGCGCGGTACGAGATGTCAGCTCATGAAAAGCGCAGTTCACAGAGCGCAGGAACTATTTAGTCCTCCGCTTGGAGTTCATTCATCTTATGAGTCGATTGAAGGAAGTCACAGTCGATGTTCGTGAATGGTGAGAATGACAACAATGATGCCCCCAAGTGGACTAAGTGGAAATTACAGCATACACCGGTCACGCGACTGCGCTATCGTTAGCGATTTGCGGGCTGCCCAATAAAGCAGAAAAAAAATGGGTATGGAGACTTGGCAGGTATTTCACAGAACTCCAAAATGGGATTATAAGGAATATGAATTTTACAACGTCTATATCGTCAATTATCTCATCTTTGCCAGATTGAATTGATAAACGATAAGACAATACCAAGCGGTCGCACCAGGAGGGAACTTTTCGAACCCGACGTATTTCATTCATAAATATGCAAGCAGCTGGCATCAAACCCTCTCAAATGTTTGTTTTTTTTTTAATTTTGAAATGATCCTACTGGTCTCTCCCACGGTGGATCAGCACTCCATCTCGCAAATCCGCCCCTGGACAGAGAACTATAACAACCTTGGCTGTGATAGATTGTGACTCATATCCACTTTCGCAAGCAAATGGATCGATTGATCTGTTTCAGAGTGTTTGCACGGCAAAGCAAACCAACATGGTGCACAAGTGTGTTACTTAATAAAGCTAACCATGCGAGTGACTCACACATACGACACTCGACACGAACCACTGAGCACACCGAGAAAAAGCACACATCTCCGCTCAGCGCTTACTTGGCTGCAGGCCACCCCCCCCACTTCGTATAAATGACACAAGGCTGGCTGCCACATACAGCTGAGGAATGTCAATTTAGAGTGTAGCCTACTGTAAGATTGTGTGACACCAAATACATTATCAGCGCATATACAGCGCGGCGTGATGGATGTGCGACACACAGGAGAGAGGCTGCCCCTCATCCCTTTCCACTTATTCCTGCACAAAAAGTGGGGGGGAAAGAAAAAAATCAAAAAGCCTACTCACCGGGAGTGATTATTTGCTCATAACGCACACATCTCTCAAGCAAATTACAGCCATCAATCTCTCTCTCTTTAGTTCCTCTCTCTTCACGTCTTCATCAGCTGGCCTCTAAGGTGGAGGTGGGATTGGCTCGGTCCTGATGCCTCACAGCGTGAGGAAGAGCGCTGTGAAAGCTCTTCATTAGGGGAGGTAGAGTCCCAACAGATGGCGCTGTCTTTCTGGCCAATAGTGATATGAAGAGACACGCTTTCGCAAATGCCGAAGCCGTGATTCGAGCTTTGAACCGAAGAACGGTGGTGCAAATCCAAACCACGAGCCCAACGCGCCGCCTCGAAACAGTCTGGTTACAAAGTGCAAAGACATGTTGTGAACCCTGTGCACTGATGCTCACATCAAGTGGCAACACAAATGTGACATGACCAGAAGCAAGAATCTGAGCAATCTTTTTGATCCAAAGTGCGCTGCTGCGACCGCTTAATAGCTAGTTAAACAATTTCAGGCTCAGTTAAACAATGCCCTGCACATGATTTGTGTTGGCACTTTATAAAATTGTATTTCAGTTGCAACTTATTGACAAGATGCGCGGTGCACTCGACGTTAAAGCGTCTGTCTGCCTCACAGTCGATGGGTCCCAGATTTGAATATTAGCTCTGGCTCACGTATGGAATTTGCATGTTTTCTCTGGGCTTGCGGATACACAAAATAATGCATGTTAGCTTTAGTGAAGTGAATCAGATTGTTCATACAGGCATGAATGTACCGGCGAATGCTTATTTGTCGACAGAAGACAGGATGTACCCCAGCTCCCACCCAATGTCAGCTGGCTCAGGACGCAAATGAGACCTGTGGATTGGAGAAAATGGATGGATGGATGAATAAACAACTTATTTAGAGTGCTGTTTTGGCAACTCTTATATATATACACATATATACACACATATAGATCACCTCCTGGAATGGTAAACAATAAAAAAAAAAAATCAGCCCTGTCATTTTGGCAAAGACCATCCCACGTGCGCATAGTTACACGCATGCTTGTGCAAGCGCATGTACAACTGTGACTGTGGATCGTATGATAAACAATGACTTCTCAGGCACGTTGCTTGCTTGCAATAGTGTGAAAATAATGGACACAATTGACACCGATTCTAAGAATCACATTATATTCTAAAGACAGTTTCTTCTAAAAGACTCATTCCGACATGACGCCTGAGCATCCCTGGCTACCACATAGCTCTGCAATTGATATTGATTGGTTCCATTTGCCGTCTATAAATGGATTAATGGGATGCGCCGTCAAAATTATGTGCCGGTCTGTTGGGGAAAAATAATATTAAAATGGCACCTCGTCTGCCCAAATAGATGCCAGCCCACCGGGTATCTGCCCTCTAAATCAGATGGTCAATCCAGCCCTGAGTGTAGCCAAATCACTTTAGTTTGTTGTTACAGAAATCATGTTTTAAAAATAACACCCAATTATTTTGTCTCCTCACTGTTGCACGCTCATCACGAACGCATGCACGCGCTCTGGCAACTCACTGGCACGTGTTGTACACGCTCCACGCCACGTGCACGCGCTCAGGGGCGCAGATCCGATCGAGGAGACTAGTTGGAGTTGGGGGGCGTTGTAGTGACGCGGGGGCTTCTTCAGACAATACAGTTGAGCTTTATGGAGTGAAGATTTGGTCCTTATTATTATTTTTGTTATGAAGGGGTATTCAAGGGGAGTCGGATTGGATGGAACGCGGCCGCCACGTCGCTTCAAAACTCATCATTCACACTCCACTTTAAACACGCGTAAAAAAAAAAACGGGAGGGGGGGGGCGGGGAAGCGCGCGATGCAATGCAGCCGATGCATGCACGACTGACGTACACCATTCGTCCCTTGCTGAGATGCAAATAAACGGAAGGCGATGCGTGAGTCACTGAAGCCGGGACGCTTCATTCTGAATAAACCCCTCCGTTGTGAAAAAAAAAAAACAATAAACACACACACACATTCATAATATTAACCATAATGTCATTGTTTTTATGCTCATGTGGCGCGCATTAAAGGAGGTGGGTGATGGTTGTGGTGGTGGCAATTCAGTAGGGTAGGGGTGGTGGGGAGGGGGGGTGAAAATGTCCTCTGATTTGTAGTTTAACTTGACGACTACAAAAATTATAGGCTGGCTGGTTGGTCGACGAGCCCGTTTCCCCCCCTCTCCCTCCCTTGCAGATGCACGCAGCTCGGCGCGCTCAGTGTGGAGTGGCGCGCCTGCAGAGGCACATTCGCTCCATACACTCTCACACTTGTATTTCCACTCGTAATATCTTCCCCTCGTATATCTATTTTTTTTTTACGCCACGCAGAGATTCGCGGAGGATTTCATTTGGATTGAGAGAAGAAAGCCAACGGGGAAGGCTCGTCACGTCGGCGCAAGCTGGTGAGCCGCTGTCTCTTTTTACTCTTATTTGAATTGCACTGAGGATGTTGTTCTCAGGGGTGTCACCGTGCCTTTTTGAGGAGCACGCATGCAAGTCAGCTCTGTGCGGAGTGGCTTATGGGGCGATGCAGTCCCAAAAAAAATAATGAATACATGGCATTCGGTTGTGTTATATTTAGCTACAATTGCAAAGAGATGACAGCAGCGGAAGTTAAATAGTGCTGCATACAGTATAAAATGGGCGGTCTCGCGTAATCTGACATGGAATCCTCACATGCATCCTCTTGTGGATGCGTTGAGCGCGGATCCCTTGCAAGGTGAAGTGCATTTCTAGTTTGGAGTGGGTTTTTAATTTTTTTTATTGTTATTATTATTCCTTTATTTTTGTGATTAGAGTTGACTGAAAACGAGGGAAAGAGAGAGAGAGGGAGGGAGAGAGGCAGCGAGAGAGAGAGAAGAGAGAGAGACCTGCATACATATCGTCTCCAGCAGCCTCCAGCTAGAATTCGTCAGATGTGAGATCACACAGGATTTACTTTCTACCCCCCCCCACCCCCCTCAATCATTTTTTTTTATTTTTTATTACCGGTCTGGCTTAGAGAAGATATTCAAACTTTGAGGAGGGGATACAAGCGTCTATTCCGAACCCATCTGCTGTAAGTGACTCATTTATTACCCCCCTCTTTGGATGCTAGAAGATGGGATTTGAGGGTTTGGGGTTGGGTTGGGGGAGGGGGGGTGAGATGTTCTCATTCTGGATGAAAATGAGGACTTCGGGAGTCAGGCTTCGAAATAGATTTTAGGTGAGGCGGGATGTTGGATGGACAGAGGAGAGAATTCAGTGGCATAGCCAGCGCCCGGAACAGCGCGCGCGTCGCTTCATTACGCACAACCGGATCAGCATGCACGGAGCAGCCTTGCAGTGATGCCAGTTGCATGCTCAATCTTTAACCTTCTTCCCAAATAGATACGTGTCACATAACATCGTGGCGCTGTGAGAGGAGAGGGTGTCATTTTTGTGCATGGGATAACTTAGAAAGTGTGCTCCTTTTTTTGGGGGGGGGGGAGATTTATTCCTTTTTACATAATCTGCATCAGGCTGCAAATCCTTGTCAGCCAAAGGATTTAGTTCATTTTTTTTTTAGAACCAATATCGTTGCGGTGCCCATTGGATCTGATTTGTAAGTAATTCAGACACATCCACAAAATCTTGTCTTTTGGTGTGCGCCTGCTCGCATCATGACACTCACCATCCCATCTTAATGACTGAGGAGGAAGCAAATGCTCTTATTTTATTCAGAGAGGGGAAAATAGGAGGGGGGGGGTGGTATCGAGGGTTTGATATTGCGGTACAGCGGTCGTTCACATTGCAGGTTCAGGAAAAAGAAGGAAGCGGTCCCGTGCACAGGTGTGCTACCACCTCGATCTGGTTGCTGAACATTCTCGGATTGTGGCTTCCGTGTTATCGTTGTGACCAAATGTATGTGTATGCTCGTGTTATTAACCTATCTCTGCACTGTGTGTTTCTCTGCTCTGACCTCCAGCAGTGAAAGGTCCTCATATTCAACAATGTGTGAACGGGGCAGCGTGGCCTCGCTGTGCCTGGGGGCTTGCTTGCTCATTGCCCACATCGTCCTGGGTGCCAAAAGGTAAACATCAATAAAACTCTCGGACAAAAAAAAAAAATGCGTATGAATGGCTGCATTGCATTGTTTGTTTTATGGGCCACAAAACAAAACAAAAAAACCCAAACAAAAAAAACTGAGCTATTTTATTGTCTTACTTGAGTGTGATGTTCTATTTCCTTGATGTGTTGGAGCAGATTCGCTGTGGTTGTAAAGTGGGGCATTCCCACAAGACACCTCCATGCTTGTTATTTTGTCGAGATAATGAGATAAGGAGCGAAAATAGCCACGACGCATGTCATGGTGGTGTTGTATATTAACCGTGAGTGGATAACTGGATGCTTGAGGTCATACTTGACTTGGTCTGTAGAGTGTGACGTAGCTGTGGTCATATTTGGATGAAATGACCACAAAAAAAAAAAAAAAAAAAAAAACGTTTGTTTGAGATTATATCATAATCTGACTCAAATGCTTTGGATTATTGTGCGTAACTCTGTCATGATACACCAACAGTGGATCAATGGTGAGCAAATAAGGCAGAGCTGCAGTTCTAATTCTTCAGCCGGTTTAACTGCAGGGGATGTGCGCCTTGTTGAGGATCAATCAGGGCTCTCCTTGAATTATTCACCAAAAGTGTCAGAGAGGCGCAGCCGACTTGAACGTTGATTCATGCCGAGGCGCTGCGGCCTCGGCAAACAATTTACAGCAGCGTGTCCTATTAAGTGCAAAAATGATGCCCTTGCGCGACGATTTGCGTCGATGTTGTCGATGATTGCCACGCATTGACGTCACGAGCCGAATTTCCATTGTTTATACATTAGATTACATCAAAGCCACCCGGGGCCTTCCACAGGAGCATAATTATCGACTCGCATCATAATCGAATCCACTTTTGGATGTCTCGTACAGAATTTCAAGTTCCCTAGGAAAAAAAACCCCAAAAACTTCATTAATGAGAACAATCTCGATGAGATGTACAGTAGCGTGGAGAAAGGGGGGGAGGTGAGTGAGGGAGACGTCAGCGTGTTGAGCGGCACTGTTGCGGTCTAGATGACCTGTAGATGGGGATGGTGCACAATGTTTTATGAAGAAGAGGCCCCCCCCACCCCCCTTCAGCTGCTTAAATGTGCAGTCTTCCCTGAGCATCTTTTACGCCTGCTTTCTTACGCGATGGTTTATTTATTTTCATCACACGCGAGCGGGAGTGCACCGAGTTTGCCGCGTAAACGCATGGCCTGGATGTACATGCGTGTCAATGTGCATCTGATAGTGGGATGGCGGCCTAAGTAATTTATCGAGGAGTCTTATGTTGTACGTACCGGCAACGAATGACTTGAATTCAGAAGAACATATTCATCTGTCAAAAGAACCATGATGAGTGTTCAAAATAATCACATCCCAAACAGAAACCAAGCGCAAATGGTAGACAGCAACAATGTATCCTACCGTGCCTCATTCACTTGATTATTGTCTATATCGACCATCATGTATGTTCCATTTCTACGGTAAAGTTTGTTCGAAAAAGGGACAAATGTATCACCAGAAACGTACGGGCAATGTTTTCCTGTAACCATCACCGTAAGTGAAACAAAAAGTGTCTGGAATGTTCGGGTACTAGCAAGGAGGTGTGACTGTCATCATTCAACAAATAATCCGAAGAAACTTTTTTTTTTCCCAAAGATGAGCAATTGTTCCAAAGTGAGAGACCCCAATGATGAAGAGGGAAAAACTCTAATGTGTTTTTACTGCTCCTTTAGTGTGTGGTGGACTGTACTCAACGGGACTCAAATAGCACAGCACGTACGGTTGTTGCCTAAAAACATCCGTTCGGAGAAATACCCGGAATGACCTGTGAGAGGCAGCATGTTGCCACGGGGCCACATAAACTGTCAGAAAGTTAAAGAGGAAGAGTAGTCATCGAAGAACAAGGACAAGAAACAAGGCTGATATCTCATCCGTGAGCTGCATTGTGGTTGCGTGCTTTCCATGGAACAGTTTGAAGCGTTGCGATATTTGGGCCGAAAACCGTTTTCTGGCAGAATCACTCTGAAGACACAGAGCCTAAATAATCCTTCAAGATCATTTTTTTTAGGGACAGTTGGCTTTTGGTGACTGACTTGAAAAGTGGAAATCAAATCGGCCCGATTATTGGCTTTATGCAGAAAGTTTTGACTATTATCGCATTATATTGGGATATGTATTCGGTAATAATGAACAACAATCACAGCCATCACCTAATTTAAGATTTTAGATATTATCACAGTAATTTTCAAAATCTTTTTTTTTTTTTTGTTGTTGTTTTTTGTCACGGTTGTTGGTATCCGAGAAGAAAATGACGACAAATTCCAGGGAATTTGGGGGCTGGCGAGCAGTGCTTTAACCCTTTTATACAAATCCATGTGTGACAGGGTGGCAGCATCTGTATTTCGAAAGCAAAATGTCCTGCAGCTCGCATACACTCAATCAGCCTCAATCCCTCAGCCTTGACGGTGAGCCGCGTGTCGCTTCTCCCCTCGGTCTCGCTCACCTTTTCCTGACCCCTCTCCCACTCCTCTTCCCGCCTCATCGCCATCTGCACTCTTGCCTTCATTTATGTTTTGTCCTCTTCCGAACAATTTCTATGATTTTATTTATTTTTTTTCCCCTTACACGTTCCTCCGCGAGCCACATTCCCGCCCACGGCCGCCATGCTTTCCCACATCCCTTCTGTTGCGTCGGGTCCGCCGCTAACTCATCTCGATGACCTCTCCCTCTCCTTGGAAGTGTTGAGCGAGGAGAGCTTGTTTCCAAACATTGGCTGTTTTATTTAGCGGGGAGTGAGATTTTGCCATTGGCGTATTAAAATAAAATAAAAGAAAGAAATTGGGATCTTCTGAGTGCTTCGCTGCATTGCTAGAGACATGACATGCTCCTGGTTATCAACACACGAACAAACAGATGTACACTGTACCCATATGCATCGATTCAGGTGTTTTATATATATATATA